AAACCAATTAGGCAACTTTTAGTGCTGGCTATTTTGGGAGCATTCACCTATACTACACAAACACCTACTGCTGTACACGTAGGCCCAGGGACTGAAAAGAGAAAGAGAGGCTGGAATGAAAACAAGCCCTCTTGGGCTTTTATGGTCATGATGAAAGAAAGTGAAAACAGAGAAAAAAATCAATCCCAACACTGGCAGCATTCAGGACCCAGACGACTGTGACCTTGTAAGTAATATGGAATTTGTGCTCCTATTAATTTGCCCAGTGCCTCTCTCACTTTATTGTAAAGTGAATAATTCAGGTTACGTCAATTAAGTTAAACTCATATAAAACTAGTGTAAGATCCCAAAGTAGCCAAAAGTCTCTCTACTAAAAAACAAAATCTCCTATATGCAAGACTCCATTCCCCAGAGCTGTTTTTCCCGTGTTTTCCCCTCTAAATCTGAAAGAATGGGGACCATTCAGCAAAACAAAAAGTGGTTATTCAGTGTTTCATATACTGACAACATTCATCCTCAGGAAGTCTTTGTTGATTGTGCCTCCTATGTATAATAATAAATCAAAAGAAGCACAAAACAGTGGTGTTTCCATATCCTATAGCTGACATAAGACCCTTGTCCCATTATGTTTCCACTGTGCTATGTTGCTCATGGAAAGTCTCCCCAACAGCAGTGACCAGTTACCAAAGGTCAGACAATCTCTTTAGCCAATTGAGAATAGTTCTTCAAGACACTGGCTCATTCAGATGCTGTTTCTGGTGTACTAGTGAGTGTTAGGAAATAAGTCAGATTAAATGCTATATTGTGTTAGAATAATGTATGTAAACAAGAATTAGGTTCTCCTCACAAATTCTGAGCTGGGTTTTGTTTCAGCTAAACAGGCTGGAACAATCAGATTGGAGTGCAATTTATTTAAGTGATACAGTTAATGTTCAGATATTTGATACTTGTGTGGGCATATAGAGTCTGTATAAATATATGTTTGTGTGTATATCCACATGTATGTACTTAACAGACTTAGATAAAGGCTGTATGAAGACCTTAAAATTAAAAACAACAACAACCAGAAGAGTTCTAAAGTAATGTAGATAACAGAAATCATATGTGCAAGAATGATTTCTTACTTCAGTTTCATATTTTTGGTACTAATGTAAGAAATAAGCTGCTGGAGTCAGCAGGAAGCAGGAACAACAGCCGTGTGCTTCATGTTCCAGTGAGCCAGGTTCTGTGCTGCTAAAGGGCTGCGTTCTCTGCAGGACTGAAGGGAGGGCTGGGAGCCTGGTAGCACCAGCACGCAACCCAAGCACAGCTGCATGGCTTGACACTTCAACAAAGCCGTTCTCCTTCTGCATCCTTGGTTGGACCAAGCATGATTTATGGTGTTCTTTCACTGCAATCTCTCCAGTGTTTCTACATACTTATGTGCATTTCTTGTACTTTTCTTAGTCATTTTCCAGAAAAATTCTTTTGCAAAGTTTGTTTTTGCAAGAGCCATTCCCCATAATCTCAAATTCTTGCTCCTTTCTCTGAAGAACTGTCATCTAATTTGAAATGGCACTTTCAGAGATGCTTCGCCCTCTCCTCCTTGTCTGGCAGATTTTAATAGTTTTTGCCCCCACTGCTCTTCTGATTATTTGCACAAGAGTCTTTCACTCCCACATATTTGATTTCCTGATACGAATTACTATTTCCTTGTTATGTTCTGTAAATCCTTTGACAAATTCAAATTTCTAGTTCAAAGCATGAGTGTTATTTCAATGTTTCACTTAGTTTGCTTTTGCCAGTGGGAAGCAGATCTAGGATGCTTCTCTGCTATCATTCCTTCTTCATGTGACCAGGTGACCCACCTGGTGGGTGAAGAAAAGGCTTTGAATGTAGTCTTCCTGGACTTCAGCAGATCCTTTGATTCTGTCACCTACAGTATTCTTCAAGAGAAGCTAGGAGTCTGTAGCTTGGAACAGGTACACTCTTTGCTGAGTAAAGAACTGGCTGGAAAGCTGAGCCCAGAGAGTGGTGGTGAATGGAGTTAAATCCAGCTGGTGTCCAGTCATGTGTGGTGTTCCCAAGGGGTCGGTACTGGGGCCTGCCCTGTTTAATATCTTCACTGATAATCTGGGCAAGGGGATCGAGTGTACTTTCAGTAAGTTTGCAGATGACACCAAGTTGAGAGGAAGCATTGATCTGCGTGAGTGTGAGCTGAGTTGAGACCAGTTATATGATCTTTAACCAGACTAAGTGTTGGATCCTCCTCTTTGGTCACTACAACCCCGTGCATCACTTGAGGTTTGGGGCAGGGGCTGGAAAGCTGTGTGAAGGAAAAGAATCTGGGGGTGTCGGTTGATGCTTGGCTGACCATGAACCAGCAGTGTGACTAGGTGGCCAAGAAGGCCAACGGCATTCTGGCTTGTATCAAAGATAGTGTAGCACTGTAACCGGCAGCACCAGGGAAGCTATCATCCCTCTGTACTCTGCAACTTGAGTGCTATGTTCAGTTTTGGGCCTCTCACTACAAGAAAGACATTGAGGCCCTGGAGCGTGTCCAGAGAAGGGCAACAAAGCTGTGAGGGGTCTGAAGAATAAGTCTTATGGGGAGCAGCTGAAGAAACTGTGATTGTTCAGTCTGGAGAAGAGGAGGCTCAGGGGAGACCTTACTGTTCTCTTCAACTGCCTGAAATGAGGTTGTGGTGAGGCAGAAGTCAGCCTCTTCTCCCAGGCAGCTGTGATAGGACAAGAGGGAATGGCTTCAAGATGTGCCAGGGGAGGTTCAGGTTGAAGATTAAGAAAAATTTCTTCTTTGAAAGAGTAAGGTACTGAAACAGGCTGCCCAGGGAGGTGGTGGAATCTGTCCCTAGAGCTGTTCAAGCAATGTGGAGATGTTGCACTGAAGGACATGGTTGGTGGGCATGGTGGTGATGGGTTGACAATTGGATTAGATGATTTTAGAGATATTTTCCAACCTTAATGATTCTATGATCCTTATTTGTGATAAAATAAGGAACTCTTGCTGTGGTTTAACCCAGCAGTCAGTGCAGCACCACACAGCTGTTCTCTCACTCCCCCCACCCCCCGTCACAGTGGAATGAAAATGGAGAAGAGAGTAGGAAAAAAAGTTAAAATTTGTGCATTGAGATAAAGACGTTTTAACATACAGAAAATGAAGGGAAAACAATAATAATGATTAAAAAAATGCAAAATGAGGAATGTGCTCACCACCCACTGATCGATGCTCAGCCAGTCTGTGAGAAGCAACCCCTGGCTAACTTCCCAGCATTATTGCTGAGCCACATGGTATCAGACATCCCTTTGGCCTGTTTCAACCAGCAGCCATGGTTCTGTCCCCTCACAGCTCCTCACACACCCCCAGTTCCATTGTGGCCAGGCAGTGGGAGGAGCTGAAAAGTGCATGGCTCTATGTCAAAACTACTTTGCAACAGCTAAAACATAAGTGTGTTGTAAACATTGTTCTCATCATAAATCCAAAACAACACACCATATCAGCTACTAGAAAAAAACTAACTCTGTCCGAGCTGAATTCAGGATATTTTCCATTTGCTTTCAGTAATTTTTCTGTATGGACTAGACTGATGTATCTGTTAATTCATAGAGGTACGAGTAGTTAAACCACCTCTAAATGCTGGTGGTTTGAACCCTTTCAAATATAGGCACAGAGACTTCTTGTTCTTATTCAGAATATTCTTCCCTGCCTTGTATTCCACCTTTGTACCTTCCTCTCAGTCCTCACACCCTCTTAGGAGTTTCCCAGCACAATTTACAATGTTGGTACCTGGAACACTAATACGCCCTATCTCCTTTTCTACAGCTACGCCCATTAGATTTTCAGAGCACTGTTCCTGCCAGCTTTGGCTGGGTCCGAAAGGCCAGAAATAATCTCTGGCACAAAGTATTACTTGTTTGTTTCCTACCATCTTGTTCTTGTATACAGTGTGAGTTAAAATCGCTGTGGATTTTTATTTTCCAGCAAGATCAGCATGACAAGTAACTTAAAAGGTAAATAAATAAGCCACAATTATGGCCATCGCCATGTATTATAAACTCTACAAAACCTCAAACGTCTTTTTTTTTTTTTTTTTTNNNGCATCCCTACTAGCACTGGGACAGGTGAGAGCTACTAAATGCTATTCCCAGAAGTCTGCTGACATCAGATGTAGTAGGACACCCATGCTGTTCTGGCTTGACACAGAAAAGACAAAGAAGCAAAAAAATCAATATGCCAATGTGCAATGGAAATGAATCAATTTAGTAAGAAAAAAAGTATTTGCAAACACAAAATCTGAGGTTTTTACAGAAGCACCAGTTTGGCTCAGTAGGAGTTAAAAAAATGCCTGCATGTTTGTATAAAGGTATTAAAAGTACCTTGCTGACTAGCCCCATGTGTTCCTTGCTGCCCTAGGTATCTTGCTTCTGTGGCTGCCAGAGAGGGAAGGAATCCTGATCTGTCCTTCAGCCAAACCACGGAGAATTAAACCCTTTGTTTAAGGAGTCTTTTACCTCCCAAGCTGCTCTAAAAACCGGCAGGGAAACCAGAAGCCATGGCTATTCTTGCCTTAAAAGTAATTTCCTTTCTGTCACTGCTCCTTCTCCTGAAGATGCTCCTGTTTGCAGCCTGCCTCAAATGAAAAACACCAGAGTATATTATGGGCCTGAAAGCTTTTAATGTCAGTTTAGGAGGGAGGACTCAATGTGTTCTCTAGCCCCAGCAATAACAGCCAACAGGAGACAGCACTGCTCTTTTGAAAAATGGTGGTCATTCTTACATGTTATCGATGGGTTATTCTGCCATTAAGGATATAAAGGACATGAAGTTTTGTGCTTCAGGGCACAAACCAGACTCTTCTGCATCCTTGGCAGCAGTAGAAACTTAACCAAATAAGCAGATTATAACGTGATTGTCCACTGTGGGGCTTTTTGAGTCTTCCTCTGAAGTATTTGATGCTGGTCACTGCTACAGACACAATAACACATCAGCTGGACTATTGATCAGATTTAGAATTACAGATCTTTTATTCCTGTTAAACACATCTTGATACAGAGTTGGGTTTCAACTAGTACCAGTGGCAATTAAACACTAAAATACAGCCCCAGCCTACCCAAAGAGATATGGCATAAGTCTTATCAACATAAATACAGCATTGCAAGATTCAACACGTCTATGCATGCCACGTCAGATTCCTCAAATGAGGAGCAAAACAGTAGTTGTACACTTCATCATTTTCCTCTATAAATTGACAAAGGGTGATGATGATGAATGATTTTGTACCCTGACGTCTAAATTCCATGCCAGTTCTGCAAGTGAGAGTTAATGGAAATGGATTTGCTTGTTTGAGTACAGAATAAGGCCCCAAAAACAGAACTCTTCATATTGTGAGCACTTCTCTTAAACAGCACTTCCCCTTTTTGCTTAGTCCTTGGATGTGGGAAAGATTTGTTTTCAGCTCTGTGTGCCTGCAGCACTTGCTCGGTGTTTAGCTGCAAGCTGATCCCATATGCAAGGCTATAGCTGTGCTTTTTCAGGGTCCCTTGTTCCAGCTGACTACTGCTGACCACAACTCTCATTTCCTCTCTGTGTGGATGTGAAATGAATACTATCATAACAGCCTTTCTTAATACATGCCAAAGAGAAAAAGATATTTTTCTGTTTTATACTCGACCACACTGTATTTCAAATACATTACCTCACCTCTACAAATCCAGTAGGAATTTATCTCTTTTGTCATGTGTAAGGCACATGCCCACACTATTCCAATGAGGATGGTTGTGAAGCTTCTCCTTTTATTCATTTGTCCAGCACTCAACCATCCTTAAATGAGCTTCAACATGTGCCACCTGTGCTGGGTCCTCCATTCGTTTGTGTCATATCATCATAGCTGAGAGCTGAGAAAAAAAGTCACACAAATGTGAAACAAATGTCAACTGTGGAGTAAACACAGTACTGTCAACCTTTCAGGACAGAAACTCTTTTATCTGTTTATACTGTGCAGCACTAACGTAGAGACGTCCTGGCCTGCAGTTATAATTGTGGATTTATATTTGTAATAATGAGTTTAAAAGTTAATTTTTCATGCTATCTTTTGGAAAGCTCAGCTGTGTGTCAGAGAGAGGAACTGATACTCACTTGCACAGTGCTAGGCAGAAAAGTTGTTGGACCTGAGCATACCAACAGAAGTGACAATGACAGTCCCTGACTGCACCGAAGGTGTGTGATCCTTCCTTTTAGAGGACTGCAAAAATAGAGGTAGGAGAACATTTAATACACAATCATGCTGATTTAGGCTCTACATCTTCTGCATTTTGTCCTCAGGTTCCATCCTATGGACGTGCTTATCTTAATGCAGCACAAATGAGCTAATCCATCTAAATAATTCAGAAAAGCCATTGCCGATGGAGTGTATGTGTCCTACTGCTGCCTCCTTGCCTTGCCAGTCCCTACCCAGTTTTCTTGTGCTTGTTGGTACTCCAACTTGCCTGCTGTGCTTGGGCACATGGACCTCTCCCTGCTCTACCGATGAGTACTTCCATATAGCCTTTGACAACTGATGCTGTGTGCTGTAGAAGGATAGACTTCCCTGCTATATGCCTTGCCTCCTGGAAGCAGAGGATATGGGAAGGGTCACACACCTTTCTCCCCAGCTGTCACAGCAGGGTCAGGACATCATTTTGAGTTGCCACGAGTTTCAGGTTACATGAGAAAAAAGCTGGGAGCAGTGGTACCTGAGAAGCAGACGTGATGCCTGTGCTCTCATCCCTACTATGAGTGGGCATGGGCAGGGCACCTGCTAATGCACCCCAAGATCCCTTCAAGACACTTATACAAGGTTGCTGTAATCTTGGAGCAATGGGTTGGTCTGTAAGACAACTTTGCAGTAGATCTTGGGAGTCCATATAAACTTAAGCTGTTAGGCATACAAATAAATAAATACTTGAGTTGCTTGTGGGGTTTTTTTGTTTGTTTGTTTGGTTGGTTGGTTTTTTAATTGATAATTTTCTAAGTATAATCTCTATACAGCATGTAAGTCTTCCTGATTTAAAGAAGACCTACATACTCAGGAATGCTGATTATTTGGGACGAAGAAACGAAGAGACATCCTTCATAGCTCACCCCTTCAACCTTCATCTATGGATATTATTAGTTAGATGATCTACAAAAAGTTAGGGAAAAAAAGAGGAACCTTTCCACTTTTTCTGTCCCTCAAGAAAAAGAAAGCAATGTTTTGGCAATATGCTGTTACTCCCGCAACTATAAGCCTTGCTATCACATTGGCTTGAAGACCTGACAGGTTGGTGATGATTATATACAGTACAAAAACATCACAGACACAGGAGGGCTGAGGTTGAAAGCAACCTCTGGAGGTCACGTAGTCCAATCTACCTGTAGGTCAGCCCCATCACATTGACTATAACCATGCCCAGTTGATGACCATGACTGTGTCCGGATGGATTTTGAGTATCTCTACTGGCAGAGACTCCACAAATTCTCTGAGCAACTTGTGCTAGCTTTTGACCACCTTATATTTCTTATGTATTTTCTTATGTTTGGGTTGAATTCACTAGTTCTTAATTTGTGCCCATTGCCTCTTGGCCTGTTGCTGGGAACCACTGAGAAGAGCCTGCTTACAGACTCTTCATTCCCTCATTTCATCAGGCATTTATATATGTCATGGATAGCTCCTGAGCCCTCTCTTCTCCAGGCTGACAAGGCCCAGCTCTCAGCTTCTTCAAATGCCAGAGAACCCTTCCAGAAATTTGCAGTATAAGCAATCCAGGGAGATTACTAAAGTCACACAGTGTGACAGCATGGACAGCAATGTGGGGTCATTTCTGATGACCTCCCAACTCTTCCTGTGCCTTTAACCAAAATACTTGCAGTCAAATATGTCCTTTAAAGCCTATACTGCTTTCATACCGCTTTGGAGTTTTTCTCAAAGAGTTATAAGCTCCATAGGGGACAGCACCTCCAGAGATTGTTGCACACAGTGGGAAGTCATAAAGAGGGACAACAGTCCCCAACTTTTAGGGGATTCCCTTTGAAAGGAAACAAACTTGCCCTAATTTCCTGTGGTTTTACAAGAGAACTTCTCCTGAGGGAACTACACTGCATGTGTCACAGCTCCATCCACTTGTTTTGCTTTCTTGATCTTTTTTTCTCTGTTGGCTTGACAGCACTGGAATACAAACACGTCTCCATGCACTCCTCTAATTAGTGGACCCTTCTAGCCTTGCTAATTTATTTGGTAGATCTGTGGGCAACTTGTGCGAGCACCTCCTGTACTCGGCACGTGTGAGGTTGAACCTTGATTACTGTTTTGGGCCCCTCGCTACAAGTAAGACAATGAGACCATGGAATGGAATGTGTCCAGAGAAGGGCAACGAAGCTGTGATGGGTCTGGAGCACTGATGGGGAATGGCTGAGGGAGCTGGGATTGTTCAGTCCAGAGAAGAGGAGGCTCAGAGGAGACTTTATCTCTCTGTACAACTGCCTGAAAGGAGGTTGTGGCAAGATGTGATCTGGCCTTTTCTCTCATGTAACAGCAACAGAACAAGAAGGAATGATTTTGCCAGAGAAGGTTCAGGTTGGACATTAGGAAAAAATTATTGTCCAAAACAGTGGTAATGCAGTGGCTGACCAGGGAGGTGGTGCAGTCGCCACCTCTGGAGATATTTAAGAGCCATGGAGATGTGGCACTGAAGGACGTGGTCAGTGGGCACGGTGGGGATGGGCTGGTGCTTGGGCTTGATGATCTTAGTGGTCTTTTCCAACCTTGATGATTATGGTTCTGTGAGTCTTTGGCCACCTTCGCATAAAACCAGCATGTTCTTATGTTCAGTCTGAATGTAGTGGGTTTTAATTGCTTCTTGGTCTCTTGCGGGGAACCTGCTTTAGGAAGGGTTGGACTCGGTGATCCCCAGAAGTCCCTTGCATCTCTGTGATTTCATCACGGGGCACCCTGAAAAGACCTGCAGGCACGCCTTAGCGGTGGGACGCGTTTTTCATCCTCTTGGCCTCACGGAAGTCGTCATTTCCCCCGTGAACCTTAGAGGAGCCATTTCGTCCATCAAACGGCACGCTTTGGGATGACCCTCAGCCCTGGCAACCGTCGCTGGGAGGCGGGGCGGGGCCGTGCCTCCACGCCACGCCTCCCGGCCGCCTACAAGCCCCATGGTGCCGCGGGGCGGCGGCGCGTGACGGCGGGAGGAGGGGTGGGGGGCTCCGTCTCTCCCCTGCCGCGTCCCCTGCCCGGGCTCGGCAGACGCCATGTTGGCTTGAGGCGAAGATGACAGGGGGCGGCTGTGGGCCGGCATCGCGCTGAGCGGAGGCTTTTCCCCGGCTCGCGGCGCGACCAGGCAGCGCCGCTAAAGCTCGAGGGGAGGGGGCGAGCCTGCCGCGCCGGCGGGGGGTGGGGGGAGGAGGGAGCGAGGGCGGGCTGAAGAGGAGGAGGAGGAGGCGGAGGAGGCGGCGATGAGAGCTGAGGTTGCGGGAGGCGACAGCCGCTGAACGGCCCCGCCGAGCCCCGGAGCCGCAGGGCCGTCCCCGCCGGAGCCTGTTGCATGCGGCAGCCCGCCTAGGGGAGGCCCGAGCCCGGCGTCCTCCCCCGGGCCCCGCCGGCCCCAGGGCAGCGAGTCGGGCCGGCAGCGCGGCGCTTAATGAGGAGGTGACGGCCGCCCCATTATCCGTGAATCACCCCGTCGTTATTCGCCGGGGAGGAAGAGCGCGAGGGGGGAAAAGCCGCGCGCAGCCCATGTCGCGGCGCAGTGCCGCCCGCCCCGCCTGGCACCGCCGCTGACGGAGCCGCCGCCCCCGGCACAGCCCTCGGCCCGGAGCTCCTCAGGGCCCCGCCGCCCCACGCCGGCCTCGGGCCGGGGATCTCCGCTCGCTGCTTCTCGTTCTGCTCTCGAAGTTGGTGTCCGAGCGTCGGAGGGATATCAAGATGTCCAGCAGCGTTCCGGCTGACATGGTGAGTGCCGCGCTCCTTCCCTCGTGCCATTATCGTGGAATAGCGTTTACTGAGGCCCCTTTTGGCAGAGAACGTGGAAAGAAGAGGGGCGTGGGAAGGCGAGAGAGGAATCCCGGCTGCCCGCTGGAGGACCCGGCGGTTCCCGGCCGTACCCGCGGCGCCGAGCTCGGAGCGGGGCTCGGCGGGCGGAGGGGCCCCGCTTTGGGGAACAGAAAGGCGAAGCCGAGCCCGCAGGGTTCCTGCCTCTGCCCGTTGTGTTGGTTTTTCTCCTAAACCCGTTCGCGTTTCGTCTCAGCCGCCTGCTTCACGCAAACTTCGCTAGTTCCCTACCGACGCTGCCTTCTGAAGCTGGTGTGAAGTTAATCCCCCTTCCGTGATGCCGGGTCAGGAGCGAGAGAGAAATCCCCGTGCGCTGTTTGCCCAGGGAGAGCGTTTGTGCACCCGCTGCAGCCTGGACGTTTCTCAAGGGCACTCCTGGTGCTCCCGATGGCGGACTGCCGCCAGCCTGCGCGGTGCTGTGACGGAGGGATGGCAGAGCTCTGCCCGTTCAGTGGGCTCTGCCGGTGGCTTGCCCGCATCTCATAAAATAATTAAGCTTAAAAAAGACCACCGAGATCATCTTGTCCAGCCATCATTTCTATACGTCACTTGGTTGAGGGGGAACGGGATGTCACGGCTGTGACTGGATAGCTTGCTCCTTGTTCTTGCAGCAGAATATTTTCTCTTATCCCCATGCAGTGGTTAACGTTTATAGGCACTCTGTCCAAAAGCAGCGAGCTTTTTCTTTTATTGAGGGTGAAATTCTGTTCTCTGAGCATAACCTGCAGTGGTGGTAATAGGAAGACGGAGCCTTGTTTCAGCTCATAGTCCATGTGTAGGATAAATAGGTTGTTGAAGTAATGGCATTGTCTGGTTGCTTCATGTCATTGTTTCCTTCACAGCTTTTCTACTGCAGCCCAAAGGAGTGAATTTTGTCAAGAGAGCAGGAACAGTGCAATACAACCACAGTCCTGAGCTTTCCCAGCCCCTCCCTCCCCAAGCACTAAAAATATATTTTGCCTTTTGGGAAGAAATATAGGGAGCGCTCTCCTCATGACTGAATTTCAACTGTCTCAGCTGTTTATTTTCCTTCATCTCTTGCTAGGGGCTCCCTGGCTGTGCTCTGAGCCCCTTTCCCACTCCCAGATGTCAGCATGTTATGGCCCGGCTGCAGCCCCTGCCTAGCTTGGAGCTGGGTGCTCAACTCTCAGAGCAGCTAGAGGAGCTCTTGGCTATGGCATGGAGTGCTGAATTCCTCTCAGCCCGGCCTGAGTGTGAGGCACCCCTCCGTCCTGGGGGCCAGGATGCACCTTTCATATGCAAGGACTCCATTTTATAACGATACACGCATCTTGAGAGGAGAAAGAATAGTTTGTTTCTATTAAAACTGTTTCTTCCTGTCATTATGATGTAATGAGGATAGTGATGTGTAGGCCTGGAGATGCTCTGTTTCTTCAGGTCAGGAAGAAGCTTGTTATCCATAGCGATGTTTAAATATTGAGTCATTACAAAGACGTTTGAATGAAGATGTCACCGGTGTCAATATAATTTAAGCAAGTGAACAGGCATATTCTGGTCTGTCTTAGGATCATTCTGTTCAGTTGCTGCGTTTTTAGCTGCAGTTTCCCTCATCAAGTTTTAAGTGTGCTGTAGAAATTAAGATGATTAAATGCAGTCAGTAACTTAATATATAATTTGTAGAAAGAGCACTTGAAAACTCGTTTTTCAGTCTTTTTTTTTTTTTTTTATCGGTGTCCTCTTTATTTCAAAGGAGTTTGTTCAGGAGGAAAAATGGTATTGTTATTTGATTGCTTTTTAAAGAGAAGCACTTGCAGGCTGTCACCTTGTTTATGTATGTTTTTATTTACTTGTATGATTTTGCAGTTTACATTTCTCTTTATCCACCCACTCTGTAATTTGCATTTAAAAAAAAAATCCCATTCTTCTGTAGGAGTTGGCATCATTGTGGTGGGGTGTTGTATTATGAGGGCTCTGTCACGTTTACTAAATCTGCTATGAATTACTTGAGTATTATAATAATTATGTTTCAAAGTATCAGATGCATGAACTAACCCTCTCATAATAATAATAAAACTATTATAATTGGTGCTTCTTAAAATGTGGTCTTCCTGTCCTACCTTTGAAATGCTGAGGATCTGCTGTACATAAATTCCTTCAGTAAGCTTTGGGTTTGTGTGCAGACGTAGTTTGATCCAGCCTTCTCTTCTATGATCTTGGTTGACTTCTTTCCAGAACTACAGCAGATTTTACCTGCTTACCATTTCAACATCACTTCTCAAATAATTAACATAGCATTTTATCATTTGCATTCCACTAGTAACCTGGATAGTGACACACTGCATTCCGGGCATCATAAGTTTGTGTTGCATTATTCCTTAGGAATACACTCTACTTAAAGGCTAAAACTCTACTCCTGGAATGAGACCTGCTGCTGTTGGCCTCTATACTTGTGTAGTTTCATTAACTTAATGAGGACTAGACATGTATGGAGTAGTCCTTGAACACCATACTACCTTTCTAGAGTCTGAAGCCCCCCCCATAATTACTGGTGACTGTGAAGATGCAGGGCATCTTTGAATGTGTTGAATAATTTTATCAGATAACCTATTATTGTTGCCATTTGGTAGCAGCTACAGTTTGAAGGACTGATAGTGGAGCTGCTTTCAAGTTGTATTTTCTTTCCTACTCGTGAAGCATTGTGAGGTGCTTTATGGACTCAAAGCCAATAACTTTTTTTTAAAGTTGACAAAAAGAAAATAGCTTGCTATTAGTTTAAGAACTGTAGCCAACTATATCAAAACAAGCTCTTAAAAACAAAATAAAACCCAACAAACCACGGTGTGACAACACACTCAAAACCACCAACAACTAGGTTCAGTCCAGAAGTTCTTACTCAGTTGAGTATCCATTTCTTAGGCATTATCAGAAGAATTTGAGAAGCTGAATCTCCTTTGTACATTCTTATAATACTTCCCCTTATGCACATAATTCTTCAGGGGCTTTGGAACATTGCAGAAATGGCTCCATATGACTGAAAAGCATTGTGCTGTTTGCTGTTTCCTTCATTTGTGCATTTTCTTTAGGTACAAAAAGGCTCTGCCAGCTTTTTCTTCCCGGGCTGTTCTTTGTGTGCCCTCTGGGATATCAAATTCCAAATTCTTTTTGAATTTGAGTGGTAATCAAGAGTAATGCATTTGGCTCATGGTGCGGATTTGGTTTTTTTTTTTTTTTTTTTGGTGTGGCATTAGATAAATCCTCAAGAGTTGATAGACTTGAGTATTTTCAATTGTATTACGTGTACCTACTGAATCTGTATGCTGAACATAAGAGATGGTGGTGGTGTGTGGGAGATGATTGAACAAAACAATGTTTGGTGTTACGTGTTTGCAGATATACAAGAAAATGAGGGTTCGTGGTCTGAAATCCTTGTGTACATGGAAGTGTTAGAAGAGGGAAGTAAGTGAAGGAAGACTGTGTGTGCATGTTGTTTTGGAAGTTTAATGCAGAATGGTGATGATTAGCTTAGTGTATAGTATCTGTAACATCTGTAATCCGTTTCAGTGATAGCTAAGAGGAAAAGGTTGGGTATATATATACATCTGGTCCCACAGCACTAGGAGCATCTCTGCATCCTTGAATAAGGTTCAGGCAGGAGAAGCTTAAAGGGGTACCTGGTTGAATTTTAACGTTCTTCATCCAGCCTAAATAGTTCTTTAAGAAAAGTATCCTTATAATATGCTTGGAACATAGACCATGCTTTGCGCACTCATAGTACCGTGGTGGATTGGAGCAAAATGTAAGAAGTCATACATAACAGTTCTGTTGGAATTGCTTTTTCTTCAGCAGATGCATTTCCTTTGTTTTGAAAATTGCAGAAGCTCCTTCCTGACTGACTCCATGTGGGATGAGCCAGCCTTGGTGGTAAAAGGCGGGGTTTGTTGTAACAGGATGCACCTTATCTGTTACCTACAGTAGCACCAGGGATACACTTTCCAGAGCTTGATACTGAATCTGTATATTAAGAGTACCTTTCTGTAGATTTATGGTTTTTTTTTTCCTTTCTCCCCTTTTTTGTTCCACAGAGAAAAGAAAGTCTTACCTACGGATCTAACAACAGTACAAAAATCACTTTAGTAGCAGCTGATGTTTGTATACAGGACGGTAACGGAAACTCCATGGCATTCTAACACATTCAACATACTCCAGAACAATGATTTTTTATTTATTTATTTATTCAGGCAGAGGCAGGTGTAACTTGTGGATGAGACAGTGGGTGTTGTTTGTGCAGCACTATAAGTTAGGCTGACTGAGCAAATCGTTCCTTCTTGCTCACCCTTCACCCTTGTTGTCCTTGGTACCTGACTTTTTTCACTCCAGTTTTGTTCTCTAACTCCATGAAATAGGAGAGGGAATGGGTACTGAAGGACATTCAGCTCCTCCCCTGTTGGGAGCACAGGGTAGCCAGCAGTGACTGCTGGCAGGGTCCAGCAGGACGGAAAGACAAAAACCAAATGCTGAGTGTCTGACTGTAGCAAAATGATCACCTCTACAGCAGAGACATTGAACTGTGCACATTAAAAACAAATTGCCAGCTTTATCTGAGGAATACAGACAGAACAGTCAGGACTAGATGGGGATGAGTGGCGGCTCTTTGGAATTGGTGCCAACTTCAGGTGCCTCAGTGCTTGTGCTACTGTTTGCATGGATCTAAACTTAACTTTTCCCCATCAGCATTTTATTTTAGATCGTTCCAGGCCCATTTCTCTCTTCTTTGTCTTGGCCTGAGGCTGTATGGAAGGTGAGCCATACAGTACAGCAGACCAAGTAGGCAAAGCTTCATGAGAATGTCTACAAAATGAGGGAAGATGGACTTCTCTATTTTTAATGTGGGATTATTTCTTAGGACAACTTCTGTGAGTGTTGAAAGTCCTGGTCATGGT